AGCTTCCCGAGGAAGCCGGGGTGCTGCCCGAGGAGGGGGAGCCCAAACCGGCCCGCATCGCAGCTGGCGGGGAGGTGTGTGAGATGCACAGTAACCCCCTGGTCCCAGCGCAGCGGGCAGAGCCGCCCGCGCGTTAAACAGCAGAGCACGTAAGGGAGCATCTTGCCTGTCCGGGAGGGTGACGAGGCAGGACGGCTTCAGATCCTTTGCCGGGCTACCGGCTTTGTGTCCTTGCAAGCCTTCGGGCACTGCAGGGCACGTTGTTTCTTTGTGTACGTAAGGGAGCATCTTGCCTGTCCGGGAGGGTGACGAGGCAGGACGGCTTCAGATCCTTTGCCGGGCTACCGGCTTTGTGTCCTTGCAAGCCTTCGGGCACTGCAGGGCACGTTGTTCCTTTGTGTTTCTGTGTCGGGCAGGGCCTCTGAAGGGAGCTCACAGCAATTACAGGGTTGGACAAACACGAGGCATCCCGCCCGCCGGGCAGGGTGCGGGGCCGAGCCCCGCGCTCGCAGCTGCCGGGAGGAGGCACAACGCGGTTTCCGCGCCGTGTCCTGCTCCTCTGTGCTGTTCAGCTGCCAGCCCTGCCTCCTCCTGGCCCTCAGCGCTGAGAAAACACGCTCCGGTGCAGATCTGGCCGTGTGACACAGCTGGGCAGGTGCCACCTGCCCACGGCGGTGCGGGCAGCGCAGCCAGCAAAGCTGCTCACAGAGAAACGGGCTTTCCCTTTTCTTAAAACAATTTATTATTTCAATTTTATATAAAAACCGTACAATCAATTAACACTAGACCATTGCTGGATTCCCAGCCTGCATCAGACCCTTTTCCCATGATAAAAAATACAAACCATGACAACAGCTAAACACGGAGTTCAGAATTTCAGTAAAGCCGTTTGATTTCCAAAAGCGCCTTTCATTGACTGCGTGATAATTACACCTGGCATGACACAGAAGGAAATCACACCATAATCTGGGATACAGAAAAATAGAGATCTGCCAAATACCAAGTATCAAATGCAATGCCATCACGTATCGCACGTGACAGCACATCTTTGGTCTGTGTGTCTTTGGTCTTTGATCACCTCACCCTGCTCTGGCACAGGTGGGGTGCCAGGGCTGCCCCCCAGATTCCCTGGCGCTGAGTTTTGAGCCAAGCACAAGGGTTGTGTCAGGGCTGGGAGCACGAGGTATTTCAGCGAGTGCCAGAGAAACCCTTTAGCCCCTGCAGAAGGGGAGGGAGGCGGTGGGGACAGAGGAGCTGATCCTGCCCCATGGGACCAGGAGCACCTTGGCTCCAAGGTGGGGAGCAGATGGCTCCGTGCCCTGTCTGGGGGAAACACACAGGCTCCCCAGCCTGCCCCCCTCCCCAGCCCTGGTGATCCCAAGCTTCCCCTGCACCGAGTGCAGGGGATGTGGACACCAGGTTGAGAGGATGTTGGAGGAGGGTTTGGCAGAAGCCAACATGAAACTGGTGGGGTGAAATGCGGAGAAGGCACCTGTGCCAGGTGACTGTTGGCTGGGGGGCTAGGGGGGTCCTAG